ATTATTTAATGTAATATTTCCTAAGTCTGTAAGTAGAGATTTCTTTCCAGACACCTTAACTCATGCTTTTCTTTCAATTATTTCAGTATAATACATCTCGCTACTACCATTCTGAAGATAATTGAATCGAATGCACATCACTCTCAATACAGATAAGATTCTACATCAAAGTAGAAAGCATGCAAGGCATTGAATTATCACTCATTTTCTCGATTTGCGTTAGTTTTATTACCGCGCGATGAAGCGCTACTTGTGTTAATAAAAAACGAGACAGTCCCGATACTACTTCATTCTACTTATTCGCAATAATTGAGCCGAGAGACGCTAAAATCGCAAACGGACTTTTGCTTGGACGTAACATTGTGAGAAAGTATGCAATGGCCGTACACTCCGTAAGCTCCGCCAGACACATCGATCTCTAATTTGCGACATGACTCCGGATGATCGTAAAAATCAGCCCTCGATTAGTTGTTCAACAAACATAGTGATTTGGTTAAGACCGAGGAATGTATTCTTATAATATCTTCAGTCTCGTACCGATCCCACGCCAATATTCTTTCGGTTGCGCATTTGGGGTTCCTCTGATGCGATATTGTGTCAAATATTTGAGGCTTTTACGGACTATTGGTGCATGCTGCAGAATCCTCAGTATAAATTCAGTCAGTATAAATACTACTATTTTTTCGAAGGTATAGAACCTGGAAACGAAAGCTAGATAACTCGTTAAATTAGTGGGATTTGAAACGTTTAAAATAAAAGGGCGTTAATAATTGAAAAAAAAAGAATATCAAGAATTTGCAATAAAAGCAACTATAAAACTTCGATTTATATGAAAATAGACGTTTGCATAAAGTAAGACAACAACAAAATCTAAATTTTAAGAGATTATTTAGTTTACTGAAAGCTATGTAGGGAAAAACAGAAGTGTCGCCACCTTTCTCGATGAAGATTTCTATTTTTACTCAACTCATTCTCACATTTTCCGTTATTTTACGACTTTTCTCGGAGCCCAGTTCAAAGCCCATGGACGTCTATATATGTGTCATACACACACACACACACATCGGCGAAATGAAAAAAGGCTCTTTACTCTGAAAGTTTTCTATCCTATCATTCAGCATTGTAAGTGTATGTATGAAACTAGGACAGTATGATGTAAAAAGGTTGTATTATATGGCATGGTAAAGTAAGCTAATAATGTATACTTATCTGGAATAAAATTATTATTATTATTATAACTCATAATAATATTGATATTGTAGCTTTCCGATTTTTGCCTAGTTATTTGTCCCTTTTAAATTATGCTTTGATGTTGGTATGTAAGTAAAAAACAAACATTGAGATATCCCTCCTAGAATATATCACATTATATTATACTTTATAACTGAGTATTTGTGTAGGATAGGATCAAATATACAGTAATTATTGTATACCTGGTTATAGAGAAAGATTCCTGGGTAATATTTTCATTGGATTTGCCTTTCACGTTTATTCAGGAAAACTATAATTTCGAGTATATACACAAACGTAGCCATTCATTAGCGTAATATAAAATATTATCGACAGTAGTAGTATATACTTTTTGTCTATAAATGGAATTCCTATACTGTGAAGCTATTTTATGTTTGGTATTTTATGGTGAATGGTAATCGATTACATGGTTTAGTTTATTTTTAAGTTTCTAGATTATTTAATCTTAAACCCGTAAAATTGCATGAAAAATAATGAATTGATCGGTAAAATCATTACGTATTACATGTCGTACTGTGAACTCTATCATCTTGAACCTGGATAGTAATTGACTGTCAACAATATTTATTAAGGAATCGCGTAACGAAAAGTAAAAAGTCAAAAAGTCAGGGCACAAGAATGATGACTGGTTGGATTACGTCAAATAAACAATTGGTACATAAATTTGATGTACATTTTGAAACAGACACTTAGTGAACTTTCATTTACTGAAAATTGTCAACAGAACTCACAAGGAATTCTTGCGAGGTGTCCGCTTCCGATTTTTATGTAATTGTTATATGTTGTAGTACCAACTAAATTTAAGAAAAAACATTTTCTTATCTACTATAAATATCTTATCCATATTTTATTTTTCCTCTTTCTCATGTTTCGTCACATAAGAGTGTGCAGACTAAAACCATTTGCCATCAAATTAATATTCCCGCATACAAATTGCAAGCATTAGTATGGGGTTTTACCGCTGCTTCTGCTCCGTCTTCTGTACCAGGTACATTTCTTCCGAGATAACATAGTGACGTATTGTCACATGCGCTTTCTGAAGGCATTATGCCTCGGCACGTATGGTTATTGTTGTTCGGCAATCGGCACGGCGTGCATGCGTCGCGTTATCGTGCCTTCACGGTCTGCAGCACGGCGTGCACGCATTATGCATTCATTGTGCTTGCATTTTTTGAAAGTTTAGAAATTAAAAAAAAATTTTTTTATTAAAAATAATCAAAAATAAATATGAACTATTTATTGTAGCGGGGTGGTTATCTAGCAAAAATGAGAAATTTATTTAAGTACAAACTCCCACGATGCAGAGCTAACCGCCGCTCCGATAAACACGTATAGTTATACGTGTATTCGCCTTTACGTTTGATAATATCGTTTCTGTGTCTTCTTTTTAACCGAGTTGAATTCACCTTAAGTCACTTGACTTGTGACACTATCTATATCAGTATGATTGACTTCATGCCTAATCCGCCTAATCCCATAGACGAAATCGGATTAAGACTTAAGCCTTGAGGCCCCGGTCCCATAGCTACGTATAAATGCGGACGCGAATCGCAACTCTAGTAACATCACTAAAAATATCTAGTTCGATTATTTAGTACCAACACTACCGGTAGTGAGCAAAAGTAACTGTTGTTTAAAACTGTAGCGCCGAACGTACCACATTTAATGAACGCTTATCTAACCTTTATATTATTGCAGTCTATAAGATGGCAAATGATAGAGAATTGATAGACTTTCAACTACAATTAGTGGAATTAGGCCTTAATTTTATGGAAGTACTTGAATATATGAGAAGAAGAAGAAAATATATATAAATGATATGTATTAATCATCCCAAAAGCTTTTTTTACATTAGTATACTCATCAATAAGCAATATTCATGAGAATTTGAAAAGTAAATTGTAGACCTGACATTTGAACATTAAATGTCAAAATATAAATAAAATAAAATAAAAATAAAATAAATAAAATAGAATAGAATAAAATAAATTTTATTTATTTCTTTATTACCAGAGTATATATACATTAATTACATAATCGCAATAAACATACATAAATTACACAATTAATAAATTGTGTAATCCAGCAGAGAAAATAGTATTTCTGTTTGCCGGTCTAGACATACTTAAACTTAACACTAATAAAATAAAAATAAAAGTAATGAAACAAAAAAATATATTTATATAGTCCGCTTGAAATTTGATAATCAAATACTATCAAGTCAAGCAAACTATTATAATTCAGTTTATGTACTTCACAATATTACATACTTATCACCGAAATCGAGTGAGCATTGTTCTGGCTATAGTTCTATTGCTATAAGTTGCTTTTCTGAATTAAATAAATGAATAAACTGAATAAATAAGATAAATGAAATAAATAAAATGAATAATTAAAATAAATAAATAAAATAAATAAACAAATTAAATAAATTATATATATAGAAAAACATCACCAAATTGGTTTACCTTCATCATCAAACTTCTGGTTATCACCCACGTATGCTGTCCCATCCAGGTCAGCTGCTACCTTCACCAAGTCTGCTTCCATAGGCTGATCTTCAAACTCAACATCATCCTCATATTTACCTTCCCCACCTGTAAATAAAAATTTTTTTAAGACCTTGGTTTGATTTTATTTTTCAGGTAAATAGGAGTAACTTTCATAAAATCTTTACCTAATTCTTCATTTCCTATGTCTTTGCTTTGTCGCTTTGTCTTCGCTGAACATTGCTGATCGCTTTATACCGCAAATGCTCCTTTAAATTTTTCAAGGTCTTGATAAAAAACAAATATTATTAATTATGAAAAAAATACGCCTTATATGTGTCGTTCAATTATCTTATTGTGTTATTAAATGCCATTGAGTGCGCAAAGCAATAATACCACAGAATCGCATGCAAGGAAATATAAATTGGTTAACCTTATCGTCATTCAACATTCAATGACGTGTAGCTCAAAATTAAGACCCTCGCCTAAGCAAACAAAAAAGTTGTAAAATTTATCTACATCCTGTAAAAACAGGATGTAGATAAATTTTACAACTTTCATGTGACGAAGTATTCAAAGTTTAACAAAATCAATGTAAAAATTTACGAATTCTATAATCTAATAAACAATCAATAACAATCCCCAACAATAGTTATCGAAAACCACTTTTATGTTTTTCAATCAGATGCAATTAGTTTCGTGAAAAACCTACAAAAAATATTTAAATCGTTTATAAAGTGAGAAAACGATAGTTTGCAATTACATTTTACAGTTTAAATTATTGTAACTTATAATAAGTAATTAATCTTAACATAATTTTTTTTCGAAATTTTAAAATTAGCTAGTTTCATTACATCAAAAATAAAATATTAGCCTTTATGATTATTTATTCATTTATTTATTTAAATTATTATTCTTAATTATAAAACTTGTACTTACATTATTTTTCAACTTTTATAGCATTCAACACTTCTTTTATAGGTATAATTAAAAATAAATAATATATAGTATGGTTTTTATAGGCAGAATTTTCACAGCATAAGCTATGTCAGTGTTACGTAGGCAAAAAAAAGAAAAAAATTGGTATTTAGGCGCCATCTGTAAGCAGAATAGAAAACAGAAAATGTGGATATAAATGATGAACTTGTGGTGGTTGGTACCCGACCGGTGCAACCACCAGCTCGGCAGTTTGAATTGGCCCTGTTTGCAGCCCTGACGAGGCTGATCGGGGCGCAGAGGGTGCGAACGACGCCGTATAGTATGGTCGAGCGGTTCCACCGAACGCTGAAGGCGGCGTTGATGTGCCATGCACAGACCTCTTGGCCCGAGAGCTTACCTTTGGTGATCCTCGGTTTACGGAACTGCTATAAGGAGGATCTACAGGCCTCCCCAGCGGAAATGGTTTACGGGACATCGCTGCACATCCTTGGGGAGTTCTTCGTCATCACTAGTTTTCCTATGGATTCTGCCTCATTCGTGGCCAGGCTGTGGAGACTCATGAGGGCCATTCGACCGGTACCGGCAGCAGACCATTCGGCGCATCGACCGTTTTACCTGAAGGATCACGCATGTCTTTCGAAGGGTAGAGACGGCCAGGAAGCCCCTCGAGCAACCCTACTCTGACCCGCACGAGGACATCAGACACCTCAACGAGAAGGTGTACGTGGTCAGGGTCGACGGCGTCGAAGAAACGATCGCGACCAACGCCTTGAAGCCGGCGTATCTGGACTCGGCTGACGTTGGTGTCAAGGAGCCACCTGGAGTGGCGGAACGTAGATCATCGGAGCCAACAGTGTTACCAGCACCGCTGTCGTCTCCTTTGCCAACGGAGCCGGTTACGGCCGAGCCTTCGCCATCGGAGTCTGACGGGACCACACCTTCGACTTCAACAGACACATTACCGACAGTCGACCTCGGCACGTGCCCAGCATCCTGCGCAAAGGAGCATCGAGGCATTCGCCACCCGCGAACTCCTCGGCGGGGGGAGTGGCAGTGACGGTTGGTACCCGACCGGTGCCGCCACCAGCAGGGCATAAGCGATGGCGCGACCAGCGCCTTCGATTTGAACAATCAGTTTAGGACGAAAGATGGAGTTAATCCGCTCCTCCTAAGCTGCCCTAAGCTATAAGTCGCGACCAAAGCTCCCTAAGCGGCCCGAGCTTAAGCCGCAAAAGGGGACAACACCACGCAAGTCCAGCTTGCTTAAGCCGGGTGAAGTAGTGCACCATCCGATACCTACAAATCGTAGAGCGTTCGACGCCCTCGCTGTAACTGTTACGCTAATAAAAAGCTGTTCTCCGACATTCGCTGTAAGACGCTTTCTCTCTCCTCCGTCCTTGGCTCCTGCGAGCCTAGCCACACTTCAGAGTTGGCCAAAAACTGAATGAAGGAACTCAGCGAAAAATAAACAAAAATCAATCTAGAAAAATTATAGAAAATCTATGTATGATTAGCAAAAATAGTAAAACTCCCATTAATAACTCTGCATAATTTAATTTTTGTTTGAATTATTAATGTGTTTTATTTCGACTATTATATAAATGAATATGTTAATCGTTAGCAAAATTCACGAGCAAACATCATTACAACCAGCTGTTAAACAAATACATATATTTTTCATTACTGTTATATATATATATACTTGAGAAATCAGTGGATAGCCTTACAAAAGAGCTATACCCGTAAAGATTACTTTTCAAATAACCGGCAGTGTCAACTAATAAATTTAATTTCAGCTTAAACAATTAATGTAATTATATCTATTTTTATATTTAATAGTTTAATAAAAATATTAAATTGCAAATTTTAAGTTGGAAAGTTCTTTAGTATTAAATAATTTAATATTAAAAAATTAATATAAACAATATTCAATTTATAAATAAAATGTTCCTAACATAGACAATAGTTATCCAAGAATGTCCTTGCAAGAGCTGTACTGATGGGGATGGATTATTTTTTTAATAACTAGTAATATCATAATGTTAAGTATTCTAAAACTTACCTGGGTTGAAAAAATCCATTTAATAATAATTAATAATTAACTTAATTATTATTAACGCTATATACATATATCTTTTTATAATATTTTTAAATTATTCATTTTTTAGTCTAATATTTTGTGTACAATTTAGAAAACTGGCGTTTCTTAAGAAGTTTTTTTTTATTTTTGTCAAAATTTTGCAATTATTAGTTAACTTAATAGTTAACATAAATGGTCATTTACAAAAATTATCCATTTCTATCGACACAGCTCTTAAAAATAGGGTGTAGTAATTCTTTTAAAATTGAAAGGAATTATATTTTTACGAAAAGAAATGTAGATCCACGTAACCCGACTGATCGTTCAGATGAGTGTAACGTTGCAATGAAATTTGTCGTTTTTGTTTTTCTAACGGCACGCGGTATATTTTTTATATTCTTTTTTATATTCGCTTTCCCTTTCCCCAGACAAGCATAAACAAAATTTAGAAAATCTCTTTCTGTCTCAAAGAAAACGAAGCCTGCATACTTTAGAAGAAATTCTGAGAATTTTTCAGAACTTAGAAAGTCACCCATTGAAAATTCATGCAGTATCAACCCTATGCATAAAAACAGTGTCAGTCTAGCACTGCAGCCTTGGCCTCTTCGAACTACGAGCGTGCGTTGTCTCTCTCTTTCTCTTCTTCTCTGTGGGAACTCTACAAAACAGCTGAAAGATGTTCGGAAGTTGTAAATCTTATCTACATCTGGATTTCTCTTTTTTTAAAATTTTTCTGATAGTGTTTGAAATATTTAAGGAAACCCCTAATCTTAAACTCATGGATTTAATAATTTTTTGAACAACAAATAATAGCCCATGACCGAAATATTTGGAAATCTCTTTTGGGGTTCACGATTAATAGCAAAATTTTGACAAAAATAAAAAAAAACTATTTAAGAAACGCTAGTTTTCTAAATCGTACAGGATATATTCAACTAAAAAATTATACGGACGTTATAAAATCATTCTCTGTTTAGTATTTTCTTATATTCTTTATTAGTTTTATTACTTTTATACACTGTAATCTATAAATTGAATTTGTTCTTAGAAAGTAAAGAGAAAATAATTGTTTATGTCAATATAAGTTGAATTTTACGCACGGTCCTTAGACATATATCTTTTTAGAATATTTTCATATTAATTTGCAAACTATACTGTGGGAAATCATACGTATGGGATGAGAATAAGGGACATACACTCGAGTTATTTTATTAATAAGATATAAGTTTATAATAATAAATTTATAAATTAATTTATAAAAATAACACACCAAATAGAATGAAGGACTAAACATAGATTACATGCTGATAGTGCCGCCGTCCTCCAAGCACTGGCGTGCTGGGGATGCGCTCACTCTCTCTTTTCTTCCCTTCGATGGGGGAGAGGGCGCTTGCCCTCTCCATCGCTTTCCCGAAGGGTCTGCTACTTTTCCACGCAAAGGGAAAGTGCCAGGCTCATCTACTCGCTTGCTGACTCATACCAGCTCCACAATACCATACAAATTTAGATCAGATAAGTTACAATTCAATGGTAAACTAATGAAGGCGGCTGCATCTAACCGTCGAAGAAGAAAAGCTACCAACCAAGAACAAGAAGAGATCTGTATCTAGTTTACCCCCTGAAAAGCATTAATGACGACAGAAGAACTATAGGATAAGCAAAACAAAGGAATGCTACAAAGAAGAAATGAGATAAGGCGAAGGATATCTCAATATCATCTCGAGGTAAAAAGTCTACAACACCAAAGAGGTGACGATGACTGGGAAATAGTCAATAAGCAGAAAAAAAAAGGAAGGAACACAAGGAGCACAGTCGAGAAATGCACCGAGAAAGACTCCTCCCAAGAGAAAACTCTCAAGGCCAAGAGCAACGGCAGTGCTGATTAAATAAATCAACGAGACACTTAAAACGATAAAACAGAAGAGAAGCCCACCAGGAGTCGGATCGAAGGTCGGACGCATGCGACAGACGAGAGACGGAAACTTATTAATCGAGTTGTAAAAGGGCACAATCTTGTAAAAAGTTAGCGCAGCCATTCGTGCGGAAGTGTAACAATTCCATTTTTTTAATGAGCTAGTGTATGAATTTCAAAAATTTCAATACCCTCTTATTCCTTGCAATTTTTTATATATAAATAAGTATTAACATCGATTGGCTTATATTTATAAATTTATTGTTACTTTTAAAAAACTTATTGAAATAAATTATGTAAAATAAATCACAGGTAATAAAATACTTACATAAGTATCTGGAAATTAAATAATTATTTGCTAAAAAATCTATATGAATGATCTTATATGTTTGTGTGTTCAAATCATACGAGTACATTTTTTTATACATAAATATATATACTGGACAACTACTCTAACCGTTTTTTGTCGCTTTAAAAGAATCAATTAGGCAATTCGGCCCTGGCGTAGAAAAACAGTTTTTGATCAGTGTACATAAAACGGGTATATAGAATCATCCAAATCTGGAAAACTAACTACAAGTAAGTAATTTTTTCTTTATTAAATGAACAAATAAAGAAAATGAGTTGACGAATATATTTTTTTGATTATAGATGACTTTAAAATTTGGTTAGAACAAGTATTTTATCCACATGTAGGACATCAGTCTGTATTATTACTCGATTTCTGGAGTAGTCACTGCTAAAAATTGGTAGAGAAAACGATGCCAAAAAATAAAATTGTTAACGTAAAAAAATATCAACAGGAACAACATGAAAGATTCAACCACTTGATGTGTATGGATTTCACATCTGGAAAAACTTCGTACGACATTTTTCAGATCAAGTGTCTCAAGTTCTAATTTTTTCGAGTACTACGTATAAAATATTATTAAAATCGGCGTGGTCGAGTAGGCGGGGGGTTCCCTGTATAAAGAAATATTGGTTTGATCAACAGTCTTTTGTCTGTTAAAATGGAGTGATAGAAACTTAATGTTTATTTGATAGAATTTGTCTGTAAAATAGACATGGCAAGGTCAATTGAGTTCATCACGGGGTCAGTTGAGTAATTCACTCTGACAATTATTTCAACACTGCGTCTTTGATTAATTCAACATAACAATCAAAGTAAACCAACATAAAACGGGGCTTGATAGAAAAATGTTAATGGTAAGCCAATTTCAAAAATTTATCGCATTAGTGGTGATTCAGTGATTAACTGTTTAATTCTACGTCGATTACTTGGATAGAAATTTGCGTCGTGTGTTGAGAGAACAGATTATTCACATATACTTAATTTTAAACGTTTCGCTATACATTCATGTATCGTCAAACGCATACATTTGAACGTCACTCGATGAGTCGCCATTTTTCGCTGTTATTTTCGGGTAATTTGAGTTTCATTGTGTAGTAGTCGAAAAATTGTCCAAGCACTTGCGGGTGAGCAATAGCAAGCGTACAAAAACGGCTTAGCCATCTAGCGATGAATTACCACACTGGAATTCAATTGGATAAGATTGTCGGTAGGAAATAACAATTCTTATGTAGAGTATATTATATTTAGAATTGAGTGTGATGTAGAAAATTATTTAAAATTTATGGCTAAATGCAAACCGATAATTTTAATTGAATAGATAATCAATTTTTGTGATATAAAAAGTTTATCGAGCCCGACAATTTATTCAACTACATTTTCTTTAGATACATATCGATTCAACATTCTTACTGTCAGAACAACAGAACTTATGGTTGTATTAACGTACATGAAACATTTGCTTTGACTGAAGTGCCATTTATTAATTTAAAGAGAGTATTTCATCGATTCAACGTTGTTGCTGTTGATTTAAACATTGATACTGTTGATTCGACTGATTGAATGTTGAAAAAACAGACCTTTCTGTTAGATTATTTCAAGAGAGCACGGTTTGTCAAATCAACAGAACCGTCTGTAAAATTGACAGCTTGCTAATTAAACCGATAAATCCTTCTTCGTGTATACATGACATTTGTGATGAACACTGATAAAAGAAAGGAAGGTCATAGATGTAATTATGATGATCACGGCGTGGACTACTGGTGGTGGATCACGTGATTACCTAAGGGGCGATGGGCAATTTATCTCGGTTAAGATGTACTAGCGTATTTTGTACGCTGATCCGATCATATACGTATGTCACTAGAAACATATTTTTTCGATTATTCGAAACATGTGATTGATGCGTAATAACGATATTTTTTTGTTTCAGACAATGGACATCGACAACCATCTTCAATTGTGAGTATCGTGAGAAGGTCAGAATCTAAGAAAGAATGTTAATATTTTAATTATGTTACGTAATTTATCGATTATATTTTATTTGTGTATATTTTGTGATCTTAACCTTCCTAATTATTCGTTTCTTTTGCTCATCCATATTTCTACATCGTTCATATCAAGACGACGATAACGACGAAGACGAGTAAGAGTTTGAGGCGGCGATGCATCAGCTCGCCGAAGGAAGGAGCGGCGAATCTCGTCAGGTGGTCGCCGCCGCTAATAGTGGATGGTCCGTACGTAACGTTATTTTTATATGAAGGTGATCACGCTCTATTAACTTTTTTAAATATTTTAACGACATATGATGCGGATGACGCAGACGCAGCTGTCGCAGCCGTAGCCACCAACACCACGGCGGACGAAGCTTCTACTCTTATGGAGTCGGAGGCGGCGGCGACGATTATGCCGGAGCGCATCGACGTCACAGATAATTAACTAGGTTTTTAACTCTTATAATTGATACATAAATTATATTTAATTATTAAATCCTTGTTTAATATTTTAACGACAGATGATTCCGATGATGCGACGGCGACCACCACTGCAAGCGAGGTAACACCTCCTCCTTTTCCAAAGGCGAGAGTCCAGCTCGAACGTATCGACGCCATAAGTAATAAATTAAGTTTTTGGTGTTATTATAATTAATACATCAAGTATACTTGATTCTTCATATATTTGCAGTAGACTCTCGACAGGACCGCTAAAGCAATGATAGCGATATTGTATTAGTAGTTCTTCTGTTGCAAAGGATGAGAATCAGGATGGTGGTGTACTGCTCCTGGGTTTGATCTTGTTCATGACCGCCTTATACGGTCGGCCCCAGGAGTCATTATCTACTTCCTCGCAAAAGTTTCACCAGCACTATCTCTTTGTTGCTTTTATGGTAGCTTTGAGTTACAATCGTTTGAGTTGCAATTATTCGTACTTCTGATTCAAAACTCGGGAGTACGGTTTGTTCCGTGATCTTTGATGGCGTTTTCTGGCTCTATGGCATTCATGCATTAAGCTAGCGATATTTTCATTCCATCAATGTATTGGCGAGTGACCCCTAGGATTGTTCTTTATGTCCTTAGATGCATTGAATGCAGCTTTTAGGGCCAGCAAAAGTCTCCCCTCGTGTCTTCGGCGTCTCCTGATATTGTCGCCCTTCCAAATAAGCAGAGAAAAGATTACCTATCAAAGCTTTATGTCCTTTTTCCTTACACCGGAAACACTGTCTCACACGATCGACTTCGATTTTACAGTCACTTGCGATGAAGCCACTGTCTAGGTACTGATGTCGTCGCCATAAATAGTTGTACTATACAGTTCACCCGTCCTATGCTTAGTTTTATGTTTTCCAGTAGCTTTTTCGCAGCTATTACTGGGAGCAACACGTTTGCCACCTGGGTGCTATTATAGGGTCTCCTAATTTTTATTGTACTAGTAAAACCATTTCCGATTCGACAACTGCAAATTATACAGTTTGTGCCACTTCTTCGGTTGTAGTGGTTTTGTCCATGTTTTTAATCCTCACTGTTTCCTTATTAATCAGTAGGTAGAATTTAGCTGATCTTCTAACAGCGGATTCGAAAAGAGCGGAAAATTTTACGATCGAAATGATATTAAAAAGGTCCAATACTAAGGTCAATTTAAAGAGGAAATCCGAAAAAATATTAAAAAATTTCTTTTTTTATGATTTTCGTATGAAAAATGTTAGAAAAGACCTAGAACTAACGACCTTAGATTAAAAAGTTTAATAAATAATATACATGATCGATCATACTAGCCGAAATGCTTTTTATTATTTGAATGTGTAATAATTTTTAATAATGTACAAACTACGAGTACATAACTTAAATAAATAATTAATTAATAGAAACGAAACTAACTGAAAGTAATTAATTAAACAGATGAGAAAAGTGTTATCGCAAAAGATCTTCGAAATATTGCCCATTATTTTCAAAGCATAAGTTGATTTTACCTTGGAAACTGCTTACAGTAGACCATGAAACCTCTCTTGGAATATTTTAACAAGCCAATCTTTTGCGCTCTTTCATATTTCTCTCGTTGTTGGTTGTTGAGTGTTAACAACATTTTTTAAGTATCCTCACAGAAAAGAATCTGGACTTGTCAAATCTCGAGATCGCGGGCACCATTCAATAGAACTATCTCATCCTATCTATCTATTTAGAAATATTAGATCCAAATATTCTTGTACTTGTCTACTCTAGGATGCTGGTGGTCCGTCCTGCTGGAACCACATACGTGCTCTAGTTTTCAATACAATATTTTCAAGCAGTTCACGTAATTCGTTTTGTAAGAACTGTAAGTAGTTTGTACCATATACATGATCATCAAGAAAGTATGGTCCGATTAAGATATCATCAACAGTACCAAACCACACATTCAAGCTTCAACGATGTTGGCAATCAATGTTTTGAAACTAATGCAGATGTTCAAGAGCCTAGTGACAAATATGTCAATTTAGTTGGTTAGTGCTATGGGATGTTCGTCATAACAAGGGGAGGCAGGGAGGTGTGTCCTTCTCCGATTTTCTTGAAACTTTGCACATCGGTAGATCATCGAAAAATATTAAATACGTGTTTTTTTAGAGCTGATACAATAATTAAGAGGGTAAAAACCACCCTTAAAGTTTACCACTAAATATCGCAAACACTTAAAACACTTTTACAGATATTCTTACTTCTAATCAATATTTTTGAACCAAATAAAATTATTTTTATTAACCCAAAAGTAAAATCGACTTAAGAGTTTGCCTCCCTTATTTTGGAGGGGGGTAGAATCGTATTTTATCAAGTATATTTACGTAAAAAAAATTCAAAAATTAACTCAATATAAATAAAAAAAAATATTTTTAGAATCCTCTAGTGTTTTATTATAGGTCACGCTCGATGAAACTTTTTTGAAAACTTTTAATTTCGATAAATAGTAGCTTTTTGACGCCGCTGAATATCAATTTATAACAATATTTCCAAAATTCATAATATTGAATTTAATATGGTGGAAGAAATTAACAATGAGAGTGAGATGTGTGATTTTTGCAGAAAATTTTTACAGAAAACATTTTTTTTTAAATTAATTTCTATTTCTTTTTATTTATTAAATTTATTTAGTTATTTATTTAGTTATTAAATTTACATAAAGTCTATCACATTAAAATTTTAATTAATTAAAATGTGTCGACTTTCTAGTGAATTAGTATATACAGTTCATAGTATAACAATAATAGTATAAATAAAAGATAATAATAAATAATAAAATCGTAATGTATTATTAATCAATTTAAATTTTTTGTTTTCAGCAGGGATTACAAATTATAAAGAGATTAATAAAAAAATTTATGTATAGAGTAATTTCAATTGAATAAAAAAAACAATAATAATTCTTCTTATTGTTAATTTGATAATAATTTTTTTTCATCTTGATATACGTTCTTTATAACAGTGCAATAATTTTCATAAAGTACAATTTGTTCTATCAATTGAATATTTGAAATTATTGGTAACTACGGATATTTTATACATTATTCCTATGGTTTATAATTTTTGCAATAATACTCTGTAAAAAATGATTTAAGCACAATTGCTGTTTATACTGTAATATCTTCAACTTTATCTGTGCCTTTGGTTTGCGCGCGCAACTCACGCGAATTCAAATGGAAATTAACGCGGTTCAGGTAACTTGGGAAAAGGAAAAGGCAAAATTTTAATTTAAAAGAGGACTTAACTACCCGTAAAGTTTCTATATATTTTACAAGATAATACAGAAAAAAAAAGAAAGGGCCAACTAGACGGCTCGGTAGTGAAATCGAATCTCTACTCGCGATACGGCGTCGAAGCTCCGCTTGATGCTGCTCGCTGCCATTCGCGCGTGCGTGGGAGGGAAAAGGACGTCCCTTTTTCTGGGCGCTGGCAAATTAGGAGGCTGGTTTTCTCTCTCCCTGGCTCTCAACCTCGGCCTCTCGGCTTTCGGCGGAAAACCCATCAAATTTTGACGACTTGAGAGTCGTCAAGAAAAGTTGTTTTCCCTTTCCTTATTTTTTTTTTGAGCCATCATTTATAACCCGCTGCGTCGTAGTGCCCAAGTGACCATTTACATTTTACGATTTATGCTAGCCTACTACGTTTATTCAAGAAAAATATTGATTTGAACGCTCGCGCTTTACTTTCTATTTTCTTATGCACGTAGTTTACTGCTCTTACTTTGCGTACATGACAATACGTGACGTCGGTTCCTCACAATACCAACCACAAGTTATAATTTCAATATTGTCCTGATAGCTACATACAAAATCTGTAGTTGTATTTAAGCAAAATTCAACAAGATTATAAAATTTTGAAGGTCTGTCAGTTAAGTATTCACTTTTGAACCGTGAATATTTAAAAGTATTATGAAATCTTGGAGATGATAACTGATTATGCACGAGAGATTGCATTTTAATGATATTATTTCTTTCGTGTAGACAGACATAATCCATCAAAATAATTATATCTGATAATTTTCTTACGAAGTTTTTTCAGAAGCGAAATCCATAAACATCTAGGGGCTGAATTTTACCAGTCGATGGTATCGTTATTAGTTTTAAATCCACCTCTTTTGGTGCAATTTCTCGTACTTTTGTACCTCATTAATTCCTTTATAAGTCAAACTTCTACCAGTGCGAATTTCCAAATTAAATCCACTTTGATAAGAATTAAATACGTTTTTTGCATCGTATTTTGTAAGCGCCTGTAGGACTTCAGTTCTAAAAGATTTACCATGTCTTCTATTTCGTTAGTTTTTATCAATGAAGCTTTTGTAATAAATTTAGTAATTTTTCGAGATACGATATTGTGTTTCTTTTTAAATTCCTGAATCCATCAATCTAATGCTTTGAATGAAGGCATATCTATTTAAGCTTTTTTTTGTAAAGCCCATCTTATCAAATCAATATCATGAATAGTCACTTTTGACGTAATGGTTTTTTTAAATTATTTAAAACGTGTTCCGAAATTTTGAGTAATTTTTCGTATCTGTTGCCCCCCGCTTCAGTTTGCTGTTTCCACTGTCGCAATCGTTTCTCGCTACTTATTAGTCGGTACCTGCTCTGTACAGTATTTAATAAGTAAGACTTACTTCTTCCACTCAACCAGTACTTAACTGCTTCTTCTGTATATTTAAAGTCTACATTTTTCTGCTTATATGAACAATTTAATATTTCTGGAATATCTTCAGACGTTTCAATTTCTTTTTATTCAAGACCTTTTGCAATAACTTCATAGTTATCGTAAAAATAACGGCGTTGTTTCTTTTTCTACATCAACGTCAGAATTGATTACGCATTATGTTATTATTTCTGCCAGTATATCGTGTAACGATCTTTCTTCTTTATTAACTGTAAACTTAATTTCTCCATCATGGTTCAGATCAAAGGTTCTTGATAATAATATGTTATTACAACGGTCGCACTAACAGACATTCTATTATTTTATTTATTACTTATTATCTATACGTATTACTATTCGATAAATCTCTGAGCAAACAAGTTACACTAACAATAACTGAAGAAATATATATTTAATTTATAGCTTTTTTGACATAAAAATATTTATAATATAAATTTAAAAGTCAAAATATGAATCATGCATATAAGAGCAATATATTAACATTAAGTTGACATACTTATGCCTATGTGATACAATTGAAACTTCAAACTGAACTGGGCCTTTTATAAGACTCTTATTTATATGTTTCATTATACACATATGTAAAAATAAGTTATTTTGATTTCGAAAAAAATACAATTTTATAAAATTGATAAATTACCACAGATTTACAAATGAAAAATATATAACAGCGGTTTGCCATAGCGGTTTCACATCCGACCATTGATGAAGAAACATGATACGATCAATTGCGGTTTCCTTGTTTAAATTAGAAATAACATAAAAATAAATATGAAAAGATATAAATAATTATATCTTTTCATAAAAAAGATATAAAAATATAAAAATAGATAAAAATAAATAAATGTCAATGATAGTTTACATTTTGCTTATTTTCAGCATAAATTAAAAATTTTTTTAAATTAAATTCAAATTTTTAATGTTATATACAATATATTTTTAATAAATTATTGGAAAATTGTTATTTTATCTAAATAGAACTTTTATTAATCTCTTGATAGCTTGCCATCTCTACTTAAAACAAAAAATTAAAATTTATTAAAAATACATTACAACTTTATTGTCTATTATTATCTTTTGTGTATACTATTATTATTACACTAATTACACTAAATGCTAGCACAATGAGCATACGGCATGGAAGGCACGGCGTGCTCGCGACAGAATGCGGATACACTGGGACATCACGGTGCCGCGTATGCTGACGGCATAGTGCCGGCACTGTTATCTGGGTATTGAACATCTGTATGACAATATATCACACTATCATAGTCAAATCACCGTCACGTCATCGTCACATCACCGTCACATCATCCCAGCGTGAAACTTCGCGACCTCCCCCGTTCCAGCCAGCACAATTTCCAAAAAATTATGGGGAAAAATCAAAATCGATAGATTTTCATTTGCCCAATTCAAATATGTAAATGGATTTATTTGCCCACAACATGTTCATTAAATAAAAATTATTAATTACCTATAAATATTCGAACAGCTGTATTTTATTTATTAATGAATAAATTAATCCATCCAAAGTGGTAAATAATTGCCCACAGACCAATTCAATTTGCCCAGTTGAGAACCATTATCAAAAATGGATAGTAATTTGTTGAAAGCTATTATAAACTATTCTCGCATACCTAGCTTGAACGCGCATGCGCAACGCAGCGTCAGCGGGGTTTTCTCTACAATTCAAATTCCATACCTACTCGGACACTGATTGTTAGTTACTGAAATTATTTGGCTTACAATTTGAGTGATAGAACAAAAATATATACACAAAAATGAATAAAACAACATTTATGTATACATACATACATACGTTTTCAAACCCATTTTGAACGGTAGAATGGTTCTATTAATCATACAGCGACCCAATATTTTTTTTATACCTTGTTCATTTTTATTTTAATCTTATAGCTGTGGATGTACAAGTCTTGTTGCATAAAATCAATTGAATTAAAGTAAATGAAATATAACAGAAACTAAGTTTTCAAGATGGTTAATTTTATTTGTAGTCTGCTTTTTTTTCATACTGCGTTACATATACAAAATATATCATTTGAGAGTACTAAGTAAATGAGATCAGAAAATAATTGTGGTCGTACAATAATTTTCTCAACGTTAATTTAGATTTCTTTTCAATCCGTACGTTTGAATTTCCAAAATTTGCCGCTGTCGTTGGAAAGAACCAATAGAAATGCCATGCTCGTCATTATGAGTCAAAAGCTTTCCAACGGTTTCCGTCGTCGTTGCTCATTTCCGGTCATTCTTCAACAGTTCATCAATTTTGTCGGCTTTGTTTGTTTTTGTACCTGAAAATGGAATTAAATATTATAATATTTATATATAAATCGCAATAGAACATCATGAACGTAATAAATCAGTATTACGAGGCACTGGAATTTTTTTCACAACGTGAGAGACAACAAGGAAAGGATAAACTAATTATAGAGAGAATTGCATCGAACATCAAATTTGACTGTGAAGAAAGAGAAATAAAATATTCTAATGTCATACCATATAATATTTTTTCGAGTTGTATATTTTTGTCATGGTTAGGTTTGGGCAACGAAGGAATTGAAGGTTTAAATGGTAAGATCAATCACCATTAATTTTATTCGATTGTAAAATTCATTGAACACCTAATTGATATAATATTTTACCTAGTTGAAGAGATGGAAGTTATCTTTAAACATGCAATAGCACTGCATAACGGAAGAGCTCAAGAAATTTCATGCTTTAAAAATTATTATATATTCATGTGAGTTAAGAATTTCAACTAGTATAATTAATTAAATGATATAATTCTATTAATATTCATTTCTTCATAACATGTCTATAGAGAAAATATTAATTACTAACAAAATGCCAGGACGTAAGCCAGCTGTTCCACATGAAGAAGTAAAAAAAAAAATTGTAACAGAAATAATCTACAACTCCGACTACACACTGAAAAGTAGATATGACCCAGTTTGGGTAAATATTTGCAATTTCTTTGGAAGTAAAATCAAACCTCTCAATCTGTTCAAAATGGTACAGCAAAATAGACACGGGATTAGAACATTTTATAATGATCAAAAAGGTTTAGAAATCATTGTAGGTATAACAGATGAAGTAGAAAACGTTGATTTCCATGTCAGTAATCATGAAGCAGATCTTGATGACACAAAAATATTACCATCAAATGGCAACGTTAAAAAATCAAATCTAAAATTTGAAATCATAATTCTACGTGATGAATGGTCATTAATCAGCCCTAAAAGTATAGTATACAAGAGTGGTCGTTCAACTAGTGTGTTGCAAGAAGGTTGGGCAGATGTAATGAGAAGATGCATCTGGCATTCCCAAAAACTGCCTTGTGCGTACAGCTTCGACCGACACTACGTTGGCAGTGATAGTGCTTATATTAAGATCGAAGGGCATTGCACAGAAGCTGAATGCCAAGCAAGAATAATCTTGGTATGCCACGAAGTCGTCGGTAATGACGTTGATGTAAAATTCAACGTTATCACTACCGATACTTCACGCACTGTTCATACGAAGAAAATAAGATTACAGAAATTAGCTAAATCTATCATCGGAGAAAAACTTCTGAAAGAAAAACCCAAAGAATGGAGAAGAAATGAAGCGAGCAACCGCATGAAAGATGGAGATCCAGAACCTGCCGATTTATTTTCATTGAAACAGCTTCAAAACGCTAGACAAGATGCCAAAAACGCAGAGCTGGGAATTGTGCGTGGCGTACCTTTATTTAACTCCATATCTGCAATAAAAAATAATGTAGAATTTAATCATTACATCAGATTCATTGGATACGACTACTTCTGCTTGACTTACTGGTCACCTTCCCAAATAAGTGTTTACAATGATATCGCGAACGAGTTGGGAAATGCAGTGGCCCTTGATGCAACATCATCGATAGCATTGAAAATCAATAGACCTGACGGAGATTCCAGTGACATTTTTTTGTCCATAATGTGCACTCATATAGGAGATCAAATAGTACCAATTGCACAAGCTCTATCTGAAAAGAATGACACGATTTTTTATGTAAATTGGCTACAAACGTGGATACAATCTGGAGGAAAGGCCCCTAGAGAACTTAATATGGATAGGGGAAAAGCTATTCAGAATGGTTCTTGCTTAGCTTTTAACAATATCACATTCAAGACATACAAAGATGCTTGCCTATTAATTATATTTGGAGAGTCAATGTTCTTGAAATTGTGTACACAGATAAGGATTGATATTGCTCATCTTATGCATGCAGCGGCCGAATGGCCCTGCTACCCCAAAGACAATCCCCAAGTTAAAAAACTTTTTGTGAAATGCATTGGGTATATATCCACAATTTCTCAGTTGCATCACTTTGAAAAAGTAATAAAATGTGTTTTTATTGTTGCATATAGTCCATTTTTTGATAACACATGTCAACAAGCTATGAAATATATAACAAAATTAGTTGCAACTTATGAATTCGATTTGAATACTTCCACTACAATAAAACCGAGTGAAATTAAAAATAGTTATAAAGAAGAACACAGTAAAAATTCCAAAAAAAGTAATGAAAAATGGACATTGACATATACATACATTCAGATCATCAAGAATCAATCATTATCTAAAGTCAAGAAGGACGGTGATTTAGACTTATCGTTAGGAATTCAAAAGAATGATTATTTTTTACCTGATTTTGCTAATAGATTGATAGATTTAGCCAAAGATTTTGTTTGCTGGACAAATGTAATGCAACAGTTTTTCAATAATCCCCATGATGTAGCAATCTCAGCTAGAGCTGAGGCATGTATTGGCAACATAAAGGCTTCAATGGAAAACACAGTGATGAGGGTTGACAAGTTCTTAGTAAAGCATTGCCGGCAAATTCATTCTGACATATTACTGGCCAGAGCTGCAATAAATAGAATAATCAAAGATAAGAAGCAAATTAAGTCTAATGAGAATATAGAGGAATATGATAAAGAACATCTTCTAGTAGTAGAAAAATGGAGAAATAAGTGCAATAAATTGCTCATTGATGAAGACGATATTTTTAACGAAACTGCTGCATCAAATCTTTCAGGTATAATTATCAAATTATAGTTAAAGTATTGTACTTTGTTATATAGGTAACATAAAATATACATTTTTCAATTTCCAGATGCACAATTACCAAATACAGACCAAATTATAGAATTATCAGTTGTGAATAACAATGACAGTTTAAATGTACAGGAGTTAGATCATTCACTTCAGGACCATAAATATGCCAAATTTAAAAATGATATAGTCCAGCAATCTTCATTAATAATCGATGAACAATTAGAAATTGCTACCGTACCTGTTGCCAACGTCTCAGCTCCAGTCTCAATACCAGCCTTAGTCAATCCAGCTCAACCCAACTCAACTCCAAAGATTCGAGGAATACATGTTCGGCCTTGTCCTGATATTGCTCTGCACCTGCAACAAAAACATCACACTCGTTCAAATAGCGCAAGCAAAAGAAATCTTGTCAATGGGTCTAAGCAGCCAGGAAAGCGTATGAAAAATGACAGAATCACATTATCAAATACTTGTGCCTTTGATACAATCACTGAAATATTAAGTAGTACTTGTTTTAAAGTAATAGATTTCAAGGATTTTATTAAAAAAAGTATTGATGACAGGAAATCGAATCAATACTTGTGTTACGCCAACACAGTGTATGATTATTCTTTAACGGGAGTAGCTAGCATATTCTACACCAACCGTGCCCACATTCTCTACTCTATTTTCCATACAAACACCAGTCATATTGAGTGCAACACCAATATTACTCAGTTGTTTCAAACATTAATGATTAACTATGACTGTACACTTGAAAAGTTGAGTTGCAACAACTGTGGTTTCAAAGAAGATCTTAAAAAAATAATAACTTTTTTGCCAGACTTACGTATTGCATGGGTAGATAACTACCAAAGTTTAGAGCAAGAATTAAACATGTTTTTCCAAGACAAAATTTTGAATTGCAAGAAGTGTACAACATTGAACTTATTTATTACATATACTATGGGGCCATATTTATGGATAGATACTGATGAGGCATATCGAGCTAGCACATATGCCAAAGACGAACTACAAATAGAATCAGAAAAGTTTGCTACTGATATACGTATTGTGCCTCGAACCATTACAGTAAAAAATAACACCTTTGTGTTATGTGGAATAGTCAAGTTCATACCACCTTTGATTGAAAACGGTGTTGGTCACTATATAGCTTATTGCTTAACTAACACTAACTGGATCGAAAGGAATGATGTAGTAACATACAAAAAAATTTTACCTGTTAACACACCGCCAATCAAGATGAGCAGCTTATTTTATGCAAAAAGCATACACCTAACTCCACTTTAGTTGCATTTGCATTTATTTGCCATACAGTTCCATTTGCATTTATTTGGAGTATACCTATGAAAAACATAAATTAGTAATAGAACCACCAACACAAACATTTAGTTAATTAATAGAAACAGCTGAGTTGGTGAACTCACGAAGTGTTTTATTTACCATTTTTGCTTTTAAAGTAGGTTAAGTTAGTCAGTAAAAATAGCTGAGTTTGTAAACTTTCATTTTGTTTCATCGTTTTACTTATGAAGTAGATAAATTCTAACGTGGACACAAATATTGTAATGTTTAAATCAGTAAGCTGTAAAATGAAAATAGTTTGAAATAAAATGCAACTTATAATTTCATGGTTTGTAAAAGTTGCGGCGTCATTTTCTTGCTCCAAAATGAAAATGGGGAAAAACCCCAAAACAAAACTCCAAACGCCTCTGCTCTGCTGCTGAAAATATGAAAGTAGACACAAATATTTTTGTAAAGCTGTGAAATCTGTACTGGCATGTGTAAGTGAACTAAGTACAGTATGTTATAAAGATCAACTTGATAAATAAATAATTACCGAAAGATGTAGTCGTGATGAGATAGCATTTTCAACTGTAGGTAGAGCATGGAGAATATATCCGCGACGTCATCATGAGCGGGCGGCCGCTCCGTTGTCGGCGCATGCGCAGTAGACGCACAATCGTGAAACCTCTCCAGTAATAGTTTAAATTATTAAAGAAAAGAAAGGAATTATTGTTGACGATCTTTTTCAGCTGGGCAAATTAAATTAGTTCGTGGGCAATTATTTACAATTTTGGTGAGATCAATATATTCGTTAATAAATGAAATAGAGTTGGTTCGAGAGCTGGTTGAATAGTCATTGGTAGTTAATAATTTTTATTTAATGAACACGTGGTGGGCAAATAAATCCAATTGCATATTTGAATTGGGCAAATGAAAATCTATCAATTTTGATTTTTTCCCACGATTTTTCAGAAATTGTGCAGGCTGGAACGGGGGGGGTCTTCGCGTGAAAAGGCTTGAGAATCACACACACACACGCGCGCGCGCGCGCACGCACGCACGCACACACGTATACTAAGTACATATGTGGTATAATAAGGTATAATGTAAGAGTAGATACACATAAAAGATATAACAATGTTAGATGATTAATATTTGGTATTTAAAAAGTTAAAATATACAATAAAATTTATTGCTATCTTGGGAATGGTTTTCATCTGTAATTGACCATTCCTTCTTTTGAACAAAACTTGTGTGTTTTGTAAAATATAACATAACCCTTTCTGTACGTATATTTATTGTTTATTATTTATAATTTTCAAAAAGTCATAAATACGATTACAAAATAGTTTTCATTTTATTTTAGATCATTAAAAAAGTGGCAATTAAGAACTACTTTCAAATACATTCCATTGAGCGGGATGTGTGTTTATAATTGTACAAAAATAAAAGCATTTAATTTTTATTTTTTTACAAAGATATTAAAAATATATATCATAAAGTAGGTAAAAAGCGTATCATATTTTAATTGATCAAAGTATGCCAATTTGGACCATATTTTCGAAATTTCTTCGTCGTAAAGTAATTTTTGGACTTATTTTTGCTTTTCTACTTACATATTGTGTACTTAGTTTATTTTGTAATGAGGTAAGTGATTGGAATTCTATTATTATTGTGTTTTTTCATAAGACTAAATATTGTCAAAATTGCAGAAAAAGGAACAAACTTTTGGAAATGATTTTAATGACATAGATAATACAATTACTGGAGGTAGTGATTATCTATTCAATGTCGAAGATGGTGATTATAACAAAGCAAAATTTGCTGATACCCCATTGTTGTGGCAAATGAAAGTATTGAATGATATTGGAAATGACAACTCTGTAGAGTTAGAAAATGTTGAAATATTGAATGACAATGAGACTTCTTCAAAGCCTTGTCGCAACTCAGTTCAAGTATGTATATCAATTTACAAAAATACAAATATGTAGTATACACAAATACATAACAACTTAACTCTATGTGTGACATATTATATATTTAATTTTATTGTAGGGAAAGTCATTAATTGTGGATGAAAAAGGTTATGTGTGTGCTCGACATAACATTCTTGCAAATGGTTGTTGCAATACAGAAATATTCGAGCAAACTGAAAATCTATCCAGCTCTGTGCCTTATTTAACAAAAGCCAGGTATACATGTGAAACATGTAATAATCATGGCTGCTGCGCTATTTATGAATACTGTGTCTCTTGTTGTCTAGATCCCAAGAAGGTATAAATTGCTCACAATAAGCTAATAAAATTTTCAATTATTTTAATGTGTAAAAATAATTTGGAATAAAAATTATCACTACAGATCAAACTAAAGAAAACATCAAACACTGGACAATTTGAAAAACAAAATATGAAATTGAAAAAGATAAGTGACAGTTTGAAAGTACGTCTGCGTAGCCTTGATCGTTTTCAAATGTGTCTTGCTGCTTGTCGAACTTCTAGTGCAAGTGTCCAACATGAAAACACATATAAAAATCCATATTCAAAACATTGTTTTCTTTTACAATTGCCAAGCAGCCGATTATCTCGAAGACATAAAAGGAATTCTTTGTCTTTGAATAATAATAATAAGAATGATCTTAGTATCACTTTTATATCTTCTTCTAGAGTATAATTATTACATTTATCTCTTATTCCTACCTATTTTATTGTTAAAATGCTCATTCCATAATTGAATCATAGTTTGAATTTTTTCATCCTGAAATTAGCATACATTGAGGTATTTATTTAGAAAAACAATTCTTTCGGCGCTACTGTGCTTTTGGAGCTATAAAATAATGTAAAAACTAGTGAACAGTAATTATCAGTGTAAATTAAACCTACTTTATTCCTCTAATTTATTTCTACATTAAAAATGAAAGAAAACAAAATGCCATTATATCATGATATAGATTAATTATAAAACAATGACGTATATCGTTGACTAGTAAACGAGTGGAGGTGTAAAAATTTAGTCTTTTGTTTTATTGCTACGTTAGCTTTTCTTAAAAAATTCAACTAATATAAACCTATATAATTACGTTATAATTTTTGTTTAATTGTTGTTACCGATACAAGTGATCATAATTTAATTAATTTTTGATAAACTTGATTATATAACAATATGAAAACATACATTTACATATGCTTCAAAATAAATTTATTCTATTTGAAAATCGAAAAATTAATGTTTTTCATAATAATTTCTTTGTGTACGACATATTGCTAAACACAAGCATGTATGAAAAAATAAGGTTTTTTATTTAGAAGCAAGATTGAAACAAATAAAAAAATGCAATTTGTATAATCTTTCATTGAACTTAATTCAATCATCGCTTTTTTTATGGAGGTGCATTTTACCAATGCAAACTGAGAGCTTTCATCAACTTGGTTTATAACAAACTAATCCCTTAAGTCTACAAACAGAGAATTATAATGAAAACCCGACTGCACCGAGTTGCGTCATATTTTCAGCGCAGCAAGTTTAATAGTGCATGGTATAAAAATTCAATTCTTATATATTTATGGGGTTGGTTATATGGTTTATGTTTATAATGACAGAATAATTTAAGAAGTATTTTGAACTTTAGTACGTTGAAGATATAAATTCAGGTACAAATGGAAAAGCATGCATACTATATAGAAGGTAGTGTAGATAACTGTTGCTAACAATAAGTGTCTTACTGTCGACTCAACTCTTACTCCTAAGATTTTCTCTTTTTTATGGCTTATTGCAAAGTGCAATGCCAAATCTGCTAAACAGATGTTGACAAAAAACAACATGCTTTAAGGTAATGTTGAACAGGAAACTATATCCTGACTACGCGAAAACTCGTAAGCACTTGACACTCGCTCTATCCATTCCCTACATATTTATCTCCTAAGATCGACGGATTTATCCTTTTATGAAATTTTTTTCATAAAAAATAATCAGTTGATTTACCTAAAGAATAGAGAAAGTCCTCCAGTTAGTGACAGCAGCGCATGTCTCTCTCTCTTTCTTTCTGTAAATGCGTAAAAAACGAAGAATAAACCATAATAGATAAATATTTAAGAATCATTTTCTTTCGGAACGTTCACATTCCAACAGAAAATTCCGAATTCCTGTAAAGACTAGAAAGTTGCATATTGAAATTTCTGTTTACGGTGCAAACTATGTTTATGTAAAAAATATCTTGCCGAAGGACTAATGTACAGCCAGTGACGTATGAATGGAAGACCGTCGCCTAAACAAATAAAAGAGTCGTAAAATTTATCTACATCATCCTGTTATCATTTTCTTCAGTTTTTTCGTTATGTAGTATCCAAAGCTTAACATATAAGAAAATCAATGTAAAAATGTACGAATTTGATAAAACAATAAAAACCTGCAATATGAACCTACAGAAACCTCTTTTATGTTTTACGATCAGATGCAATTAGTTTCACCAAAAATTCATTAAAACCATTTGAAAAACGAATGTTTTTTAACTTTAAGCAATTTATTTGAGTAAAATAATCCAAATTATCGTCTATTGTTAAATTACGTTCTATATACTAATTTTGTATGCCATATTACTATTACATTTGATAGTTTTAATTTTATACGTTAACAAAATTATAAAGACATTTGATAAAAATGGTTTGATAAATGTTTAATTAAAAATAACTAATAAACTAATTGCATTTGCCAGTCTAAATTATAGTAATTTATGGTAAATATAATAGATTAAGTAGTTTTAAATAATAATTTTATAAGAAATTTTATATGTGAAAATAAACAATTGTAGCATGAGTAAACCCTGCAAAAACAATATATAACACGCGACGTCTTTAGTAAGAAACCTCGAATAACAATAGCATGGCTTCAAAGTGCGTTTTTAAAAAAACAAGAGTTTTCCACCAATGAAAATGTCTGGCTCGAACTCAAGGACAATTTTAGAATGTTGAAAAGGGAAGCCTTCCTTCGAGTCCCTGAGCAGGCTCAACACAAATCCAGTACGGTGCTTCCTGAATTGAGTTGTAACGTCGGGCCATTTATTATCAATAAATTATTTTTTTTTCCTCATGTACTTTTGCGTAGCTTAAATTTTAACTCCGTAAACGAGCAAAGGAGAGCATTCAGCTGAAGCAGCTGGAGGACACGTGAAAATAGCCGTCCCTTTGTCGCGCGCTTTCCGAATTTTACCTCGAACGATCGTAAAGTTTTTTTTGAGTAGGTTTAGATATAGAGTAAAGGAGCCGCGGAATTCCGCCTGCATCCTGTTATTCGATTTCACCCAAAAGTTTTCCACTTTTAGAAGCTAAAACTTTTGCTATATAAAAAAAAATCTTAATAATTAATTTTACGCAAATGAATCGGGAAAATAACAGCATGATAGGAAAATTTCGCAGCTTCTTGAAACCTCCCACACACTTTTTGATTAGAAACATAGTTGCCGCGCAATCATTGAAAATAACTCAAAGTTTTGAAATTATAAATTAGAAAATGAGGTAAATAGTCGAAAACAGTTACTTGAATGAATTTTAGCAAATCAGTTATACAGTCCACAATTAAATAATACCCCTTTTTCGTTCCATATTATTTAAACAACGAAGTGAGTTAATTAATTAAGTTACTAATTGTAAACATGTAGGATCAAAGATTTTCGCGTAAAATATGTTAAATAATAAGAAACTTGCGTTATTTTTAAGAATTAATTGTAATAATTTTACGTAATAAATAAATTAATAATTATAAGAAAAACTGTAATAAAAATGGTACTTGGAGAGTCATTTAGCGAGATAAGGCCCAAACTCTTGAACGCGCGTCCCCAATTCTCACCACGCCCCTGAACCAATTAGGGCCCGAAATCCGAAAGAGAAAAGGAGGGAAAATCTCGGTCAGCCAATTAGAATTCACTGGTATTTCCACTCTTCCCAAATTTTGAGGGATTGAAAGAGGGATTTTCCTCCCAACCACCCCCAGGGTTTAAAAGGGCGTGCGCAAGCGAAAATCGCTCTCTCTCGCTCCTCGCAAGCTTCTAAGTTCACCTCGTTCGACCAAGTGCCAGGTCCAGATTCATCTCTCCAAGTACCAGTACATTGAATAAAAAGAAAAGTAAGTTGAAACTAAAATTTTTTATCACTATCTCTCCTTTTCCTCTTCTTGTTAGAGTAGCCAATCGAAACTCGTGAGAAATAGGTCTTCGAAAAGTATTTCAGCAGGAATTGGGATACTTTTCTATAAGACAGTCGCGCCGTTAAACCAAATTTAAATTCTTTTTATGTGATAATTCCGGCAAGGTTTGGGATTTTCACATCCAAGCCCCGATTCCATTGGACCCTGGTGTTTGATGGAAGGCTTGTAGTCAAGTTTTATTTTTCACTCTTTTTACGCGAAACGCGAAGTAGAAAAGCTCTTATTCTCTAATCGCTCGTCCCGGTTTAAGCGTACGCACGCAAACCAAATAGAGCGCCTGAGATTACATCCGCCTCAGACGTACCTGAGATAGTGACCCGGACGTCACAGAGTCAATCAAAGGCCATCGAGCAAATTATCAATACGCTCTGCAACAGTCACTTTTGTACCATCAGAGCAATTTCTCTAATAAGTCGAATGCAGTAAAAGTCGAGCAGCTAAGCCCAGGATAAATTAAAAGTAAAAGTATTGTAGCATGTACAGCTGCAAATTCTAGTCTGAAACGGAAACAAACAAGCAAAAAAACAAGGCAAAGTCAATTAACTTTCTATTTCTCTCGTTAGCGCGCAATTCACTTTTAAATATCATTTCAAAAGTGTAAATACAAATGAAGATTGGATCTATATATTTATTCCCGTAAATTTGAATTATAGATTAGAATTATAAGAGTATAGGAAACTAGAACTCTCCCTCCATCGTTTTTGGCCGTAATCCCCGTTAGTTTAGGCGATCAGAAATTGCAGATTTAGCAAATAAAAAAACACTAGGTTACATCAGGCTTAGATGTACCTGAAGTTATGACTTCCACGTTGTCACAGAGGACTGTATATTTTTATTTTAGAGAATTAAAAAAATCCAGCTCAACCTAACAATTCATTATGTTAGTTCTTTTAGTTGCCCTTTCCTTTGAATAGAATAAGTTATTAGATTGATATTGAATTACAATTATGACTGCCATGATCATCTTTGTTTATAGCCTATATATTCATTATTGAGAAAATAAAAATAGAAATCGATTAAGTTACAACGAAAATTAAAGAAGTTTATTTGTTTCTGACATACCACGAAATATTGTCACAAAGTAAAACTTATCAATACAAAAATATGTACGCAATCGCCAAAATTTACAAACATGTTAAAGTATGTATATAATTTACAAACGTGGTAAAGTCAAAATTTTAAAAGATGACGTATAAGAACAACTACGAACAGAGTTTCGATAAACAGAATGTAGTCTTTTGGACTATAAAAATGCGTTCACCCAACACCCATCTTTTTTCATTTTATACGAATATTTTGCGTATAAAAATATCGCATATTTTGCATTTATTTATTATTATTTAATTATTACAAAAATCGATTACATATGAAATGCATTAATTTTTTTTGTTTATAGGGATGAGCGAACACCTCGTACTAAAGCCGATCGCAATCGCCAAGTATCGGCAAAGTCAACATCTATTCCAAAACGTTTTTTAGCTACGTTCAACACTTCATTCTTTATGCTTTCTTGCAATGTGCCATCTACCTGCAAATTAAATTATAGAATTGAATCAAAGTTAATGAAAGAAAATTAAAAATCGATAGATTAAACTTTAGATAAATAAAAATAGTTTGCTTAAAATTAAATATAATAAATTCTTTATCCTTACGTTGATATATTCGCACTCGGCAGCAGCATAATGGCATGAAATAGCCTTTCTGGTCCGATTTGAAAGATTCTTCCACGAGCCATGGATAAGCAGTGGGTGGAAGAAAACTGTGTCACCAGGTTCCATTTCAACATCAATCCACTTGACTGTCTCCGGTAGATCCTGTTATAAAAATTTTTTTTTAGGACTGCATAGTTTAATTACATTGTGAAATAATTTTTTTTTGAGAATTTAGCATACCTGAATACCATGGTACATTTTATTCACCGTGTTCTTAGGATAGCCATGAGCTTGCAAATCATAAGAACGATGAGATCCAGGGAATACATGGAGACATCCGTTTTGTTTATCACACTTTTCAATAGCAGTCCAAGCGGCTACAATACGATCAGCGGGACGGAATGGGAAGTAATATAGATCCTGATGGGGAGGATGCCTGAAATTTGATTAACGTTAAATTTATAAATATGATTGGTTTTAGAAAACGTAAGTAACACAAGCAAAGCGAATGTGAGTTGAATCGAAATTTCGTTCTTTACCTGGAACTACCAGCGCCTGCATCGGGTGGCTTGGCGATGAGCATACTGTGCACCGCTACTATATTTGGTCCAGTGAAAGTTTCGACAATGTCCAAAAGGTCCTTATTTTCAAAGTACTCGCGGAAAACGTCATCGTGCAAAATATCTTGTATCTTATTTACGGATTTACGATCTACTATGTCACGCATCACAGTAGTGTAGCCTTTGTCTACCTTTCCGCTAGCGTAATCGTCAAATCTGTAATGAAACATCAATTATGGTACGTGCGTGACTTTGAATAGTTCGAATGATACAACTCATAAATGACTTCTTTCCGCCATCATATTCATTTACCTTTTGCTACATTTATCGAGAATATCTAGCGAAACGATTCGGGGGATCACCAAAAACCCATTCAACTCGTAAAACTGCCTTTGGCCAAGAGTTAATCGGCCCGTGTCTTTTGTCAACGTCAACTTGTGCATTTTGCTACTCTACTGCAAGTCTGAACTCTAAAACAAATTATGAGGATTTCAAATGTCGTCAAGTCAGTGAAGAATATTACACACGTTGAAATTATTTATTTACAAAGACAAGGGGGAGAAAGAAGCACATATGCCTCAATTAAAAACACATTTATAATCTGAGCAAAATATAAAATTGAAATAAACTGTAAATAAAATCTTCAGTTTAATTTAACGGCAGCATCTTATCGAAGGGTATGTAAGTGATGTAAATGTAAGTAATATATAACGAAAATAGATTCTTGTCTCACACGTGTGATGAGGTTTATATCCCAGCCAAGCTCGAGACAAGCACCTATTCTTCTGCGCCAGTTAGATGACATTTTTTTCAAATCATCGTGTACAAAGCTCGAACTTGAATTTGAGCGCACGTTTTTTGCCAACCACGCGAGAAAGTTGTACTTTTTGTACGGGGTATTGAAAACAAATAGATTTTTATACACTTATCAGCACTCATCATCAAGCACTTATTAGCACAATAATTCGACAAAAATCAATGTGAAATGGATGAGTCCATCTCGAATTAAAACAAGTATATAGTAAATAAAATTAAAACTATACGATACAACAAAAATGAAATATCGTAAGTAATTTACACGATAGAGCTATTTTACTCTTGCATGAAAAGTTTCATACAAAAAATTTATATAAAATTATTGATATTCTACAGCAGAATGATTATCCGCCAAAATTCATAAAATTATGCATTGCAAAAACAGAGAGATTTCACAGACTTAAAAATCAAAGCAAATAAAAAGTATATAATTTTAAATTCAACAATTTAATTACAATTATTTCTATGTCGTTTTTCGAAGAATTTTATTATATTATAAATGAGCATTCAATAAATATAACATTCGTTGTGTTCTATTAATAAATCGTAAATGTATAATGTGGTTAGATTGGGTAAAGATCAAAATTGTAAATGGCTAGAGATTGGACTAGTATATAAATCTAATTGTAACGACTGCAACTCTATTTACATTGGAGAAAGTAAACGGTCGTTAAAAACTAGAATTAATGAATATAAAAAAATAATTGAAAAAATTACACCAAGTAAATAATTAAATGAAAATATATTAATACCAATTCTAAAACATATTTTTGAGATTCCAAATCATAGTTTTGATTTGCAAAATACTAGGATTATTCATGTGGAATATCTTCTTAATAAAAGACGGATTTCTGAAATGGTAAATATAAAATCAACTAGACGTACAATTAATAGACAAAACTTTTGAGTTCTCAATATAATCGTATTTTGTCATTTATATGATCATCTTACTAGATTAGTCTTACTTTCTGCCTTGATGGGATCCTAAACTCTCACTTTTATCTCCTCCAGTGCCGTTACTATATGATCTTATAGTTTTCTCTTTACTATAATTGAGTTTTATTCATCAGCATATTACGATTGAGCACACCTCTGACTTATGCTCGTTGTGATTATGCTTCTATTGGTGAGATTATGCGAATTTTGACGAAAACGTTGTATTGTAAGTGTTGATGGTTTATTGCCATATTTTTAGAATTGATATTTTGTATTTAACATATTGTATAACAAATTTAGTACTTGATGAGGCCGCAAGCATGGGCGGCGAAATGTTGCGTAATTTTTAAAGAGACTTGTTTTATTTTGAGAGGGATTTACCTATTTCACATCGATTTTCGTCAAATTATTTTTGTACACATTTTAATAATTATAAGATAATATCAGCTATCTTTTTTCAATAAAAAATTTACAACGGTATTTGCATGCGCATAATGTGCACACGTTGAGAACATTTTTGATTATCTGTGAAATAATATATATTAGTAGTACGTAGAAGTAAAAATGTTCAAGCCCGTTGAAAAATTTTTTGTAATTGTAAAAAAATAGCGTTCTGTCTTTACGCATTAAAAAAAAACACTTTAAAAGTAATTAAAAATGTCAAATATACGCATCATTAACTTTTTATTTACAAAATACAACTAAAATTTACAGTATTTCGTAGTGTGCGAAGAATTTTCCATTTTATTTTGGTATTGATTAATGATGCTGTCGTTGTATCACGCTGAAAATTTTGTAGAGCTCTCGTGAAAAAGCATAAATTTTAAGAGTTATCGAAGTACTCTGATGTGACCACTCGTTTGAAAAACGTCTTATCAAGCGATTTTTTGTGCTGTAGAAAATGACAACAATGAAAATGGAAATTCAGAGTCTATACTGAATGTCATGAGCTGTTCTTTTTAAACTAACTTGTTTTTATAAAATCAAAATAAATAGAAAGTTTATATGCTAAAAATGTTCAAGTTTAGGTTAATAAGATTTTAGCATTTTTAGCATCTTCAATTTTCAACAAGTATCATATGAAATTAATCTCCATTTATAGAGTTCAAAAGCTATAAAAATTTCAGAGAACAAATCGGAATAATAAGATTTCACATTGAAACATATCTAGATACTAGCAAATATATTTTATTATGTTTAATATATACTGATTTTTTTCTTTAACGACCATTTCTCCGGTCAATTAAGTTACGGGCTTATTAAATAAAACCAATATGTAGATCTCCGATCAGAACGAAAAATCTTGGTTTTTTCAAATACAGAATGGATTATCCGAAGATCCGTTGTAGCATTCCGATACATGAGAAGCATACACCTTTTCGTTAGTTTGCTAGTCGTGAATACAGATTCGATCCCCCCTCCTGTCCTCCACACACACACATATATACGCATACACACGCGGTATTAAACACAAACTATCATGATGTTAAAAGAGGCATATTCAACGTCTGTAAATTTTCAAGAAAATATTGATACTTGCATGTAGAGGACAATAACAATGAAAGTCGGATAGCCAACTATGTTGGAATTCTCTTTTAAATATAGTCTATCTTAAGTGGCCGTAAACTTGCCAAAAGAGCGTGTAGTGGAGGTACACGCGGCTCGGTGAGAAGAGATTGAACAGATGCTTGCAAAAGAGGCGCTACATAGGCGTAAGTGGCAGCTAGCTGGCGCGCGCGTGCAAATAAGTCGCGGCGAAGGGGCCAAACAAGTTGGAGCTTCGACGCGCGTGCGTCGCGCGGCGCCCGAGCGGCGGGCAAGGCGCACGTGGCGGTGAGCGGCGGCCGAGGCGGCAGCGACGTTGGAGCTTGCGATCAAAAGCGCCCCGACGATCCCACGGGCCACATCTCTCGCTCTCGCTCATTCGTTCTCCCATTATTTAAGACGCGCCTCTAAACACCCTCACAGCCGTCTACATGATCGATCCTAATTTGGCACGCAGTTCGGCATTCAAAGTGACAATCTCGTCTGCCTCATCTTGCTTGCCGAGTAAATTGCTTGTGAAGCAGTTGTGGCGCTGACAAGGAGCGCGTATGTAATGCGCTCGACAAGAGAGAAAGAGAGAGAGAGACAGACTAGAAGAATATAATGATACCACACTTAGGTGAGTCTTCTATTTCTATCTTTCTCTTCGTCAACAGCCTCTCGGTTCGAGCTTCTCGTTATCCGATACTTTTCGCGAGTTTTTTTGCCAAACTCAACAGTCCAGTAACTTCTCGAATGTGAGTTTGAGTGTTTCCTTCTCGCGACGTGTCAACTTCAATTGTCCTCTCTCCCCTCGAACCTAACTCCCTTTAGTGAACGCTCCATATGCGCTGGCTGAATAATTCATCAGTAGCGTTGATTATCGAAGAAAAATTCAATGGAAAAACTATTTTAAGCCTCGCGGCAGATGCTGAAATCGCTGTGTAATTCATAAAATAAAAAGAAAGAAAAGATTAATCGGAATCTCGCAAGTCGCAATCGACGACGTCTTATTGCGTACGCGAAGCATTTTACTGTGCCGCTGGAAAAAGTACGAGGGTCAAGCGGATCCAGGGGGGGGGGGCGGAGGCGCGGTACGATTATCGAAGCAGCTGGAAATAAGCGTAAAAGCTGCACTTAGCTCGAATCATTTGAATTGAGCGATTGGCACAGCGGTGCGCACGTATACTTGGCGATTGAGCTCGACTGCACCGAACGAATCGTGGAGCTCGCGAAAGGTCGCTGGCAATCGGAATACGTGGCTGCGCTTCCGCGACTGCTATAGCTCGGACGCGCGGCGAGGGTTAAAGTCCGCAAGAAGGAGAGCAGTCGGAGCTGGCGCCCGCAGACGAAATCGATGCTTCGCGAGTGCGATGAAGCGCTGCTCCGCGTTAATTATTAAGCGGCAAGAGAAGGTCTACAACCTCGGCAATGTGCGCGCACTGTAGGCATAAGCTCAGTCGCGGGGCACGGGATAGATCTGCGACCTTTGGCAACGCGCACACAGCGCACGCGGATACGTCGGGCCGACGGCTATAACACCGCTAGCTCGCCAGCTCCGTCGCTTGCTGGGGTCGCGTTGCGCCGCTCGCTATTATGCTCGCGACACGAGGTGCAACAATGAGCTCGGATGCGACGCGCGATTGGAGATAATTCGCCCCCCCCCCCCCCCTATCGGCCTGCACTGGACGTCGGAGATTCCAAAGCCGACAGACCTCGACAACGGTGTGAGCGTCAGTGGACGAGGGCGCCGACGAATGTCCCAGGGGTCTGCGAAGTGGCGTTTTCTATAGCACGCTCGCACCTGCCGACGACGCCGATCAGTCCTTTCTTTATGTTTGTTTTTTTGGCCCAGAGACGTGATGCGAATCGCGGATACCGCTGCGACTGCACTGCCTTTCCGCTAGCCAAACTCTTTCAATGTGGTGCAAATTGGAGGTTCTATCGGGTGCTGCAAAACTTCTTTTCTCGTGCCTTTTTGTTCATTTTGTTAGCGCTTGGCCAATGCAGATTTTATTACTCACGTGCGAGCAAATGAAGCTTCTTTTTTTACGACGCTACCGTTGTAATCGAATTCAGTCTCGAAAACTGTACAAAGAGCAGGCTGTCAAATGATGCAGTTCGGACGGTGTTATATTCTAGAACTGCGCTGTCGGAACTATTTTCAATTTCAATGAAGTTCCAGTCTATTGATACTCGTCGCGGAATAATAATGGAGCGTATATGTGCCGAGAGGCCAAATGAATGAATTAATATCGTAGAAATGGAACAAACCAAGTTAGTCGAAATCAATAAAGAGGTCGTTTCCTTTTTTCACTGCAAATTTAAATGTACATGCGGAAAACTATAACAGACCTCAAACGTTTACTTTCATGTTTTGCTTCCGTTGTGATTTTAGTGTCGCTATTCTGAAATATTTTCAAATACCTCTCAATGTAATTTGATAATTTAGGTGATCGAGATTTATAACATCAATGTAATATGTAGTGGCTAGTGATTTTAATGACAAATGATCATTGCGATTTCATATGTTTTGAATATTTTATGTCTTAAATACATTTACTGTATGTAGTTCAATTGTTTTTTAAACACTTGATCGACTTCTACTTGATTATCAAATTAGAGTATATAAAAAAAGTTAAATTAAAGGAATTTTCTAACGGTCAATTCATAATCATTAAAAGTTAGCACTCAATTAACACGAACGGTTTTATTTACAATCAGATATTAAAGTTAAGTAGTTACATTGGCTGATACTTTTTGAGTAATTCAGTCATTACTGTAAAACAACGATAGCAAAATATTGTAAATCGTAAAAGCCCAATGTCGCAGTAGCGAAACGTATTAATTGACATCATATAAAGCACGAAGCAATAATACATGATCTTCAATTTTCCAATATATAGTGATAGCCTCGACAGCCTCGTGCATAATAACTTGTAGAAGTTTCCATAACCCTTGACATTTTTATAACAGAATAATTGTAACAGCAAACACTACAATATACGAACGATACTACTAGCGGTGATCAAGAAAAATCAGTGATTCTAAAAATGTCTGCTGTCATAACAAGTAGTGAAAATGTAGCAACATAATCCGCCGCGTGAAAAAAAAAAACGGTAGTTATAGTAGTTACTTGTAGCCGAGTCTCACTGCATAATTATGCGAAATTTGCCTTAAAAGTCGCGTAATGTCCCAAATTCGACAAGGACTTTTTGATGGCCGACGGAAGGAGCAGAGTAAGAAGAGAAACGGACGCTTTTCTTGTTCCATCCGATACGTTTGACCCCGATTTCGCAGTCGCGCGCGCGTCACGGAATCGCGCACACATGACGAAGCCAAAAATGATGTATGCGCGCAGTCAGTTTTTTCCTTCTTCCGGGAGTCGCTGGCATTCATAAACCTATAACGCAAGGGATGTCAATATTTTAGGTCACTAGTCATGAGGGTTAAGCTGAATGTTGACCGCGTACACAAAACTGTAGTTAACAGATTTTTGCCCGACACATCGCTCGTTTGATTTTTATAGTTTACTTTGTGAATAGCGTCGCCTTTCCTTCGAAATTGCACGGTTAAAAACTTTGAAATAATGCTTAAAAAAGGCGCTAGGCAAAAAAGCTGTTTTTATTGTAAAAGGTCGTGACGAGCATTCGATTTATCATCGGAGAGGTCCCGTGAAAATGGAATCTAAAACCGCAGCTGTTAAGCCGCTACTCTATCACTATCTCGATCGAGCGGAAAGCCCTTCAGTTTTCCTTTCGCCGCGTGCTTTCGAGGCGCGCACTCGGCCCGTAGCCGGTCTCGAGTTGCAGGGAGCTCGCGATTGGCGATAAAAAAAAAAACACCGAAAGGATCTCGGGGCCGATGAAATATTTACGCAAGCACCGTGCCGCCGTATATGTGCATTTTCTGCAGTCGATCTTGGCCAGACACACGGGCGACTTAATTCTTTTTGTCGGCTGCTGCCGCTCTAACGCGCCCGTCACGTCGGATCCGTAAATTTCTCTCTCGCGACTTTCGTCCGGATAAAAGGCTGTTAACCCACTTCTCTCTCTCTCTCTCTCTCTCTCTCTCTCTCTAGATCCATAGCAATTTTTTCTGCTCTTTCATATACATACGTATCTCTACACACCTACTACGGAAGCTAAGTAAGTTCAATGATCCGCGATAATGTCGCGAAAGAGCAAGCGAGTGCTCGATTGTTCTAATATCCCCTGGCCTTCATTTTTCACTCTCCCTCCCGTACCATAAGTGAAGTCCGTCGACAAATGAAATTACCTCCTTTCATTTTTCTTAGGATAATTTTGGCTTTTAGTTCAATAGATTCCTTCACTTACAACTTTCATTAGATCCCGAACTTTTCATCTTTGAAGTGTTCAGTTATACCATCTGATTCGCTTCTGCTCATCGACTTATGAAAGGCCAGATCCCTCGTAAACGTTGGCTTAGCTGAAGGATTATTATTGAAGCATTAAATATGGATGCTTCGCTATGCAGCCATAAGAACTCGTTATGTGTAAAGACGCACTGGGTAGTCTTTCACCCTATCTTATATATCTGATAGACAACGTATGTTTAAGCCTATAACTCATCGCAACTCTTTCTTGAAATTGCGAAATAAAACTATCTATTTATTTTCTTCACTGATTTGACGAGGACGCTCGGAAAAGGCTTGCAGCGTCCGAATTTTATTCTATCGACCACAGTGTCGAAGTCCAAATGCCATTGTAGAACATGTATACTTATGTTGAGTAGAGCGTGAGCGTTTTAGAGAAGGAAAGAACAGATATACGACGATCAGATAGATGCCTTACAGCCGCATACAGAGTTTTAGGTTGGTTGGTTGTGTACCAATTATCCGTTTATAAAAGCCGGCGAGGCACCGTAAAAAGGATTGTGTGTTTTCCACGAAAAAATGCGACCAAATTCACCATTTGATGTCCATTTACATACTCTGAATAATCTTTTTTTTGTTTACGCGTGGATTGTACGTTTGTATTTTAATTAAATTCACACACGATGGAGATGAAGATAAAGATGTCGAACTGATTCATTTTCAAATCAGCTTTGTTTTCATATCTGGAACTTTAGTATACACTTATGTAAGAGAGTCTTGCGGTAATCCTGTAAGATACTTGGGTGGACGTTGAATCAATTTCCGATAATCGTGAAAGTACGTTTTTCTCTCTCGCGCGCTTGTCGAGCTTTTAACGTCGGCAACTGAATCAAGAGTAATTTTATAAAAATTGCTAGAGCTCGCTCTCCCTTGCCCCTCTTTTCTCTCGCTCGTTCGCGCGCGCGAGAATTATTAGGTTTTTCAATCAAGGTTATGAACAAAAGAAAATCTCCAAAAGGGATGGCTAAAGAGGCGAAAAAGGCGATGAGAGGATTAATCAAGTTTTGCGCTTTCATGGTTTTTCGTTTATTCTTTTTTCGAGAGTCATTGATAGAGCAAGAAGGCTATTGAGACGAGAAATTATTTCCATCAAGAGAGAGAAATGAACCACACAGTCGAGTTTTCTCACAACGTCATAAAAACAGTAGAAAAAGAGAGAGTCCCAAAATTCTTGCATAAACAATCGATAAAAGAATAAAAAAGAGAGGCACGAGCGATGATGCGAAAGTACACTGTCGGTCCGT